TATTTCTTTAAAAATTCAAATTAAAAAATATGCCCGAATTCCGGCTCTGACCAAGGGGGGGGGGGCCCCGGCTTTGTGCTTTGGACGCGGGTGCGCTCCGCTGGGCGGGGAGGCCTTGGGGGACCCCACAGGGAGCCCGAGGATGGGCCCCAGGGACGGGCCCTCGCTGTCCAGAGGGAACCCCAGGCTCTGCTGTTGTTTCAACACGAGGCAGCGGTTCTCTGGGGTTCCCCGACCTCCTGCGGCCCTACTAGGCGCGCCCTGCTCTGAGTGGGCGTGGCCCATGTCCTGCCGGGGTGCCTGGCCTCCTCCTGTGCACGCGACCCCGATTCTGCGTGGGAACGTGGCCTGCTGGGGAGTCTGTGGGTAGCAGCACCCTGATCAATGGGCGCCTTTCTCACCACAAACAGTGGCGGCTGAAAAAACACATCAAGTCCGGAAGGAACTGGCAGGTGGATTGAGCCAGGAAGCGAGCAGAGCGTATTGAAATGCCCCCAAGACCGGAAATTTCATTTAGGTTTTCATTAGTCATAACCACCCGGGAAGCGTGTCTACCACCATAGATTTGGGGCAATATCAGCGCGGCTCAGAGTAAATCCACCTGGGCGGTTGCTCCGAGGCCCTGGCCTGTGTGGCTCAGTGGCTTGAGCATGAACCCAGGCGCCAAGAGGGCACGGGTTCAATTCCCTGTCCGGGCACATACTCTGGCTGCGGGTTCACGGGTTCATTGATCCGTGTGTCTTTCTCTCCCTCCCTCTCCCTTCCTCTCTCTAAAGCCAATAAAAACCTATTTTTAAAAAGCCCGGCTGGTGTGGCTCAGTGGTTGAAAGTCGACCTATGAACCAGAAGGTCATGGTTTGATTTCCCATCAGGTCACCTGCCCAGGTTGTGGGCTCAATCCCCAGGTGGGGGCGTGCAGGAGGCAGCCGATCCATGATTCTCTCTCATCATTGATGTTTCTCTCTCTCTCTCTCCCTCTCCTTTCCTCGGAAATCAATAAAAATATATTTTTTTAAAAAGATATCATATCGGATCTTTGGTTTTGAACCCAGAAAAGCTAAGGAGACCCAAGTCGTAAACCTTCCTATTGGGGGGGGGGACCCTAAGCACTAAATATGTTTGAATCCCACATTTCCACGAAGAACCCATCCGAGCTCATTTCAAAATCAGCTCCGAGAACCGTCTGATTCTGGGACTGAGACCGGCTATTGAAAAGGACAAACATCATCATGCCAATCGCGGACGAGACAACCTTTTCGCGCCTTTGAAAAGCGCTACCTTCTGGGCGCAGGCCTAGGAGTAACCTCAATCACCGGCGTCATTCACATTCAAATACCCACCGCGATCGCTTGGGGCCCTGGTGCTCCCAGATGTGTTCGTAGAGACTTGGAGATTAATTTGTCAAAATACTTAAAATACTGTTTTCCTGGAGAGCGAGGCGCACTCCCCCTGCTCAAGAAATCGTTCCTTCCCAGGGGACGCTCATTCGACCACGGAGGCCAATGGTGACGGGAAGATTGGCGGGAACCTTGGTGGGCCTTGCCCCTTGGGGTGGACTCCACCCAACGCTGTCACCATCACCATCCACAGCTGTGCCCGGAGGGAGCCACTCCAGCCAGACCCTGGTTTCTGGGCTTCTCTCTCTCCCCTCCCACCTCCCAGCATTCGCCTGCATTTCCCTCCCTCCTTCTCCCTCCCCCTTCCTCTTCCTTATATTCTTCTTCTTCATCATCTCCTCCTCCTCTTCCTCCTCTTCCTCCTTCTCTTCCTCCTAATCCTCCCCTCCCTCCTCTTCCCTCTCCCTCTTCCTCTCCCTCCTCCTCCTCCCCCTCCTTCCCTCCCTCCTCTTCCCTCTCCCTCCTCCTCCTCCCC